TTGTTTCATGGACTAACACTCTAACCACTGACCAACACTGGCCAGGGCTGAAGTGAGTCTCTTGTAGACAGCATATGTAAGGGTCTTGTTTTGTTATCCATTCATCCACCTAACTCTGAGTTACACTGATGGTCATCTTGTCTCATTGCAGCATTGTCCCTATCATCAACGATTACCTCTTTCAGTAATTCTCTAAGCAGCAGTGAGTGTCAAAATGTCCTTTTGTTATAGTTTATTGGAGTTTATATTATAAACTGCAGTTGCTTGGAGATTCTGGAGTTTCCTTCTGAGCCCCAGAGACGACCCTGAAGAAGACTGTTCACAGTTGGGTATACTCATTTACCTCTTTTACTTTTTTAGAGAGGTGAGGATTACCAAGCAGTGATATCTCCATCTTCATCTCCGGAACTGCTCAAAAAGAGATCAGCTTTGGACGATCTCACCAATGTGAGTATGCTAATCCAATCCTCTGCTGTGATGTTGCATAAGGTTTAGACAACCTCTTCCTTGAAGGACCTTTCCAGTTTACCAGACTATGACCCTTTCTGGAATGTAGAGATTTGATTTTATTTGGAGTCAGTGACCCAATTTCAGAAACTGGAGGGGCTCCTCTGCTGGCACATGCATCTGAATTAATTGGTGGAGTTCTCTTGATAGAATGATTATTATATATGAAATTGTAGATAAATATGAGAACTATGGGATTGTACATTTATATAAAGTCCAGAAGTTGGTCAACAGATTGCCTATGCCTTGGAGGTAAGTACTTTGGTGCATTCATTGTAGTCTAGGGCAATGTTTATCAACTCAAGCACTATGGGCAATTGGGGCAGGACATTTTTGTTGTTGTGTAGGAATGACCTCAGGCAACATCCCTGGACCCCAGGATTTAAGTTACAGTAGCATCCCAGTCATAGTGATAATAAAAAATGCTCCCTGTGGGCACCACAGCTCCATGATCTGGTCTTCAACTATGGAGCTCTTGGAACTCAATTTTGACTAGAATTCTTAAGTTCACTTCCAAGTCACTCCCTTCTGGTATTATGTAAGTACCAGCAAAACTCAGAATTAATGGAATGTTACTAATTGAATATAGAATTGGGCTAAAAGTAATCTTTGGTCTTAGATAATAGTAACTGATGCCTACTGAGTGCTTACCATCTGCCAGACACTATTCTAAGCACTTTTTCCATATCAACTTGATCCTCATATAAGCCTTTGAGGTAGATGCTATCATATCTCCACTTTACAAATGAGGACTTGTCCAATGTTTATTTTGAAGTCTGTTCCAGCTGTGATACAGAGAACCTGATGAACTGTTCTTGCCATCTATAATAAAGTGCCCTTCTGTGGCTACCTGAATACTTGTCTCTACTAGATAATATTTACCCTCTTGGCTAGGATTGGGTAAACACTGATAAAGTTCTCCCCTTTGGATCTCTGCTCTTTAGATGCTATGTGACCACCTTTGTGCTAATACAGTCTCTTCCCCATAGAGATTACAACATATATGATTAAGGTTATAGCTTTCTGCCTAATTTCAGATTTACTATAGAAAGGTTGAAAGAGACCCCTTCCATACAGACCTGTGGGGTTAGGTTTATTTCCTGACTTATTTAACCACTAATGGTCCAGTGCACGAAATTCATGCATATTAAAAGGGGATTAATTAGAGGAAATATTTTAACTTTGCTATTTGTCCTTTCTCTATAATAGAAGTGTCAGAGATGAAAGAAAATTAGTAAAATGTATATGAAAATCTTCCTCCTGTCAGAATCTGGGGCACACCACAGGACCCAGAGTCAAGTCCCTGCCCATCCATGTGTGCCTCAAAATTGCACGAGACCCAGACCCGGCTGTGCCCCCCCCCCCATTGGGCCAGATCCAAACCTGGCCAGTCCCACCCTTGTCAAGCCCCACTTGGGTGGGGGGGGGTGCAGCCTCAGGGCCCCTGGTCTGGCACTGGGGTGGAGGGCGCGGCCTGAGGTCCTCCAGCCCAGGCCAGGGGCATGCCTTGAGGTCTCCCGTCAAGCCCCGCTGGGTGGGGAATGCAGTCTGAGATCCCCTATCAAGCCCCGCCGGGCGGGGTGCATGGCCTGAGGTCCCCTGTCAAGCCCTGCTGGGTGGGGGGCACAGCCTGAGGTCCCCAGCCTGGCACTGGGGTGGGGAGCATGGCCTGAGGTACCTCGTCAAGCTCTGTCGGGTGGGGGTGTGTGGCCTAAGGTCCCCTGTCAAGCCCTACTGGGAGGGGGATGTGGCCTGAGGTCCCCCGGCCTGGCTCCAAGGTGGGGGGTCCTGAGGTCCCCCAGCTTGGCACCGGGGTCGGGGGCATGGCCTGAGGTCCTCCATCAAGTTCCGCTGGGCAAGGGTGTGGGCCTGAGGTCCCCTGTCAAGCCCTACAGGGGAAGGAGGGGAGCGCAGCCACAGGTCCCTGCTGATTGCTCGTTAAGGCTCTTTAGGGGAACTCGGCCTTTGCTGTGGGTGCAGCCATCTTGTGTACGGAAACCCCACCTCTGCTGTGGGCGCCGCCATCTTTGTGGCAGAGTGACAGCCAATTTGCATATTCCCTCTTTAGTGTATAGAATGGATCTAGAAACTTGGCTGAACTAAGCCACACACATGAGGAGCAGGTGCAGCTCATCTTGGTGAAGATTCCCTTGGCCTACAGAATCTGTTATGGGAGTGTGGTGACAGTGTATGAAACGCGAGGTCTCAGCATGTGAGAAACTTGTTTGCCATATCTCAGTCCTTTCTCATTGTTTATACAGATACTAGAGGCCCGGTGCACAAAATTTGTGCACTGGTGGTGGGGGTATCCCTCAGCCCCACTTGTGCCCTCTTGACGCAGGGGATCCCTCGGGGGTGAGGACGACGGAGCCCCAATGCGCTAGGGCGTCTGCATGCACGACTCCGGAGACCAGATTCAGTGACACAGATCCATTTTATTGTGGAACTACAGGGGTATATATAGCATGAGGGGACAAATCAGAGGGAGACACATTGCTACAGGCGACCAATGGCTGAAAGGCTGGGGTACTGTGCACTTGGCTCTAGGAGTTCGTTCAGGTGGGCGTTGCTACTTCCTGGTGTGTCGAGGAAGCATGTTATGGTGGAGTGTGCTCACACCATTGCATCAGCCGCAGCACTGAGACATACTTCCCGAGCTCTACGTACACCACCCAACCAAGACTGGGAAACACAGAAACAAACTCAGAGAGGCAGCCAAAATGGAGAGACAAAGAAACGAC